GCGAGGGGCGGCCCCGCTCTGTCCTCTGGGAGAGAGGGCTCAGGTGCACCCCGGCAGGGCATAGGGGGGGACAGGGACAGACCTATCTCCTTCCTGCAGCCCCCCGATGATGAGCAAAACAAGAAGTGTGCGGTACAGGCTTGGCCATGATGGAGAGGAAAGGCTGAGCTTCCATCTTGCCCACTTTTTTATTATTCCACCAAAAAATGAGTTATTAAGGAAATCCCTGTGAAACGTTTAGGCACATCCAAGCTGCTCGCCTCCTCTCTGATCTGCACAGCAGCCTGATATCCCTTCGCATGGTGGCCGCAGGGATGGGGACACCACGGGTTCTTTTCTGTGCTGTCCCCCCTCACAGATGGGACCAGTCTAAGGGAGATGCTACCAGAGGAGTAACTGTCCTCATGGACAGCATCACCTGAGCCTGTGGCAGAGCCAGGGCTCCTAGTACCACTGCTGGGCAGCTCCCACTGCCCATTTTCTCCCAGCAACATCAAAAACCCTGCAGCACTCTTTGCTGCTCAGGCTCCTCAGGAAACACCTCCGGTTTTTCAAGGCTGCTTAGGCTGTCCTGTGGAGAAGCCTGTTGTCTCTGCAAGAAAGCAAGGTACCAGCAAGCCTGGGTTTCTACTCAGAAGTTAGATACAGGAAAAGCAAAACACTCTCTGACCCTGCTCTGATAATTGCCTGGCTGAGGGCGAGCCTCTCTGGCAGCAGAGGTGGAGCCCATGCCAACGGCAGCACAGGGGCTCTCCAACCTGTAAGCTCTATGAGCACTGCCCAGTGCTGGGGCAGATCGACACAAGAGAAAGCAGAAAAAAAAAAAATACAGCTCTAGAATGAAACTTTCAGAAAAAAAAAAAAAAAAAAAAGAAGGAAAAAAAAAAAAAGCTTTCCTTTTGAAACACTTTCTGAAAAAAAAAATAAATAAATAGAAAAGAAAAGAAACACTAAATTGCTGCAGAATTTCTTTGCACATTTCCCCGTCCCAGGACAGCAACCTCCAGCTTTCCTGGACTCCAGGAGATTCCTGGGGAGTCTCCAAGCAGTGATGTTTCCAGCTGGGCTGGTAGGGCTGAGCTGTACCCTGCTCCTGCTCTCCCTGCCCACAGTCGTCCCTGCTGTTCTGCAGGCACAGGAGGCACAGAGCATCGCTCAGTGCCAAGGGGGTGCTAAGCCAGGCTGAAGAAAACCCAAGCACGCCGCTTTTCCAGGAGTTGAGATTCTAATGAGCTGAACAAATGTTGTGTCACAAACAGTTTGTCAGCTAATCTTACTTCTTTTCCTGTTCCCAAACTGCCCACAAACAGCTCATAACGTGTCCAAGTTAGCCTGCTGCTCAGAAGTCATTGGAAAACATTTTTCCTGGATTTTCTTCATGGTTTGCTACTTGAGCTGGATGGCCCAGTTGTAGTTGGAGATGTACAATGTCTGGGCCCTGAGAGAATGAACACAATGCTAAGGTAACTTTCCGATGAAAGCATCGACTGGACCAAATTTAAGATTCAAAGTGAACAAGAGATCATTTTGTGCAGTGTCTGGCTCAGAACACTAAGTCAAAAAACCCAAGGTTCTGCTTCCACTCCTCTCCCCCAAGTCTCTGATATGACCACTCTTCCCTGGTTCTTCGTCCATGAAAATGAGGATCACGCTCTTCCCAGAGAGGTTTAAGCAGTTTCTGAAGATGCCTGCATTTGATTACTTTGTGTATCGCTGTAGCCCAGTGCTTGCCAAACTGAACTGCAAAGCCCTTTTATCAGCCTGCCTGTCTGTGGAGACAGAGCTTATGTGATAGCTTTCTCTTCTCTCTGTGCTTCTGCTAGCTTTCCTGGTTTGTGGGCCAACTTCAACTACATTTGATAGAGCAGAAGTGGTCTTAAATTCCTACAGCTTCCATGAAACACAGCAGCAGCAGAGGGCTCTTGGTGCTCCCAGCTGAAGGGTACACCAGCATCCACCTAAGAGAGATTTTAGAGATTCCTCAAGAAGAGAAAAACCTTTGATCAGATTAAAGCCTTATCAGATGTTAGAGAATGCAGCCACAAGACCCACGTCTGTAGGAAACCAGTCTTCACCAGTTCTGCCTAGGACAGCATGTCTTGGCTTATTTAATGCACCTAAATAAACTTTCCTTGAATTTAGAAAGCAGGCTTCTTCCATCTGAAATTTTACCATAAACCCAACATTTCCATGGAGAAGATTTTCAGTGGTTTTGCCCACTTTTAATTAAACAACCCCAAACAGCTTTTTGAAACTTCCCAGTGATGCACTGCTTGACCTGGAAAGAACACAATAAATTCTCCGGAGAATTTCCCACCGCTCTTCCACAGCCACGAGAGCTTTTTACCACATTACACTCGTTGTGGGGAACATTAACATGAGAGCATTTGGGTTTAAGAGAGTTAAAATATGCAGCGTAGTTACCCATGGCATTTGAGGCAGATCTCAGTCCATCCCTATCCTAAGGGCTTCCCCAGAAATCCAATAGTGACACGATAAGAACATTTATGATCACGTCACCAACATCTGCTGTGGCTTGAGACAGTGCTCAGTATGCTCCAGTTCCAGTTGTCATCCAAGTAACAACACTAAAAAAGGGCTGTATTAGCAGCACGATTAGAGTTTTTTATCTATTGTAAGGCACACTTAAATGTAATGGTGCAGTAAGATGAAGGAAAAAGATGAAAGAAAAAAGAAATCCTGCAGGTATTATCTGTAGTACTTGAGCCAGTCTTTTAACTTAATATCCTCATCACTTTTGCCCTGTCACAGTATTGTTTGCATCAGAATCCTGACACATGCTGCCTACCAAGTTTCACATTTATTAGTATCTTCTAAACATGAAAATATAAGAGGCTAAGAAACTACTCCAGAAATCCTTCTCTTCTTCCTATATTTCTTCTCTCTCTCATGCCCCAAACCCACCTTCTATCTTTGCACGATCCCTTTCTGACCTTCTGTATCAGCTGGAAAGGGCTGAGCTTGCAGACAGGAATGATCAAAGGGAGCCTGTGCCAGGTGTGAGGTGCAGAAGCACGGCTGCTTTTGGCCACCTGTATCCACCTAATTCTTACCAAAGCAGGAAGCTACCAGTGAAGAAAAGGTCAATGATTTAATAAGCAGGTAGGATGACTGCATGAACAACGGGGGACTTAGTTCAAACGCTGAGCTTCTTAAAAAATGAACAAATGCCCGTGGATTGTTCTCAGAGCACGGACTGTGGGAGTGACCGATGTCGCATTATTCTGGCTGTGGCTGGCTAGCAAAGGCAGTGCTCAGCACCTGGGTCTCTGATGTCAGCAGCTGGGGCTGCCATCTCTGTCACCCACTGATCCCCCAAAATATCATCACATCAGCTACAACCGATTGCAGTATGCCCTAGTCATGCTGGAGAACGCAGTTCCCAGTGGAAGTTGCCCTAAATCCCAGAGGTTTGCTGAGTAAAAGCAGCTTTGCTGGTATAAGGGCTAAAGGAGGCGTGCTGCTTCTGCCACATAACAAAATACAACAAAATACTTCTTCCCATTCCTGCTCTGTTCCTGACTTTTTTGCCCTCCTTTCTGTGGTGGCTTCTGTTAAGAAATGCTTGGCAGAGTTTTTATACTTATTTTTATATATTTTTTTTGTCCATACTCCTTGGAAATGAAGCATGAGATTCAGTATTTTTTCTCTTTCACTGTATGATAACTGAAGGCATTTTGGTCTCCAGCTTCCAAAAAGAAAGCTAGTAGCACAGTTAGCAATGTAAGTCATGCAGTAGAAATGTTTGGGTTAATTTGTTCATGGCAAATGTTGCAAACAGCAGCATTTTATAAAAACCTCAATGACAAGGTAGTTTGTTTTCTCACCAAGTAAAAATAAGTGAGGGAAACTTTGCTACAGCTAATTATCTCCTAAAATAGGACAGCTAATGTTTTTATATAGGATATTTTCCTAAATCTGATTTCAATCCCTCTTTGAACAGCAGTTTCAGACAAGGGTTGCCTTAATGCTGCCTGCATTTCCCGCAGGAAAAAAATAATAATCCAGCAAGGCCTTGCAACAAGAGGGGCTGAGTCTTGAACACATGAAGGACTCCAGGCAGAAAATAACTAAGGGAAGGGTGAACAGATTTTTTCTGAAAATGAACTGGATTCTGGCAACCATTTCCTGATGAATCACGTTTTGTACGTTGTTTTACAAGTACCCCTGTGTCCACAAGTTGGACCTTCAGAGCAGGCTGCAGTTTTGGGCAGGAATGATCCCTTACTAGTTTAAGTCTTGTACTGGGAAAAACCTACCCAGCTGGTCCATGCGCTGCCCCATCAGAAGCTGTGTGACTGCAGCAAGGAGTTGCTCCTGGGGACATGGGGGGATAGGAGCCTCTTCATGAACAGAGGCTTGGAAGGATTTGCTGAAGAAATTAGCAAAGAGTATTGACAGACTGTCTGATGAGGAGAGGATAACTCATAAACTGTGGATGAAAATGGTGTTGAAAAACTGTTTACTGTCTTTCTTTGCTTTCCCCAGTAAAACATGAACCTAAATCACCCTTCCTCATATAGATGTCTGTCTAACGACATAACTCCACCCCACAGGGGAGTCGTAAATCCTGCTTCATGTTGGTATGTGTCTGGCTAGAGCAGGATGCTCTCCCAAATGGGAAGGGACCTATTTAAGTATAAACTGTTGCTGCTGGCAAAGCTTATTCCTATGTGATATGGGAAATTAGCTCTTTGGGGCTACTGGAGCATTTCTGCTGCATTGTGTAAAATAGATGCACTGGAAAATATCAATCAAAAATAATGCCACTCTTTAAAAGTAATTATTGAAATTGTTTGGACTGTTTAGGAAACTATTAAAAAAAAAAAAAAAGACAGAAAAAAAAAAAAAAACAAAAAAAAGACCATTTTCCCGGTATTGCAATCCCTAGTAGAAGAAAAATTAAAAAAAAAACAACAATATAAAAAAAAAAAAAAGGGGAAAAAAAAAGCATGGTTTAAAAAAAAAAAGTGGTTTATTTCAGTAGCTTTTGAGCTTAAGAAGTTTACCCAGTCACTTTTTCCTTTCACCTAGGAAAGCCATTCCTTGGTTTCCACAGTAGTGCAACATATTGCAGTCGAAACAGCCTGTTTAATTTAGAAAAGCAAGTGACAAAACAGGGAGAGGGTGGCTGTAGGAGCACACAGAGCACCTGTGGTCTGGAGGACATGGGTCTGGCTCCTCGCAGGGCTACCATCTTGTTGGAGGACCCCGTGTGACTGGACATCTGCAGCAGAGATGTGGTGGGCAAAGAGGAACTCGATTTCTTTGCAAAGCAAAATGGAGAATGTGTAATACAGACGAGCAGTTAAACTACCCTGTACTGCAGCAACTGATTCACTGACTCCTGTGCAAATGGGGTTAACGAAGTCTTGAGTGTATCTTCCAGCTATGAATTCTGTTACACCCAGCCTATGCAAAACCCCAAGCTCATTTACATAGAGGTCCTGAAAAACAGTTTTACAGAAGTCTGATATTATCTAGTAACTGTATTGTAAAATAAATTGCTCTTCCTACGAACTGGGTGCAGCGTGCACTCTTCTATCAGTGCCCTGCTCAGGATAGTGAGCAACACCGGCACCTTCAGCAGCCCCTGTGGTAGCCTTACCACGTGGAGACTGACCAGGCAGGTGAGACCTCCTCCTCCTCACTGCCTCCTACCTGGAAAGTGCCTTCAGGTTTGCTTTCCCAAGCTGTGGTTGTGCTCATGCAAGTCCTGTCCTTCTCTGCCCTTCTAGAAGAGACCAGGAGATGGCACATGATAAAGAGTGCTTCTCTCAGAGGTGCTCCTCGCTGCTCGGTGAGGGAGCACACCTCACCCATCTCTCTTACACCCTTGATGTATGAGGTACGTGCAAACCACCAGCCAGAAAAGAAAACCTCCCAGCTGACAGAGCTCCTTCCACAACCATGCGTAATAGGCCACAAACAATTGTTCCACATCGATATTTCCAAGGTAAGAGAGGCAAACGCTTTCATTCTCAGTTACGGTTCTGTTAACTGGAGTCACACGAACGACACTTGCATCTTAAAGCTGCATTTCATTGCAGACTCATTCATGACTTCAGATGTGTCTTTGCTCTAAGGGACAGGCTCAGCCCCACCGCAGTCGGTGGCCGTTTTGTCACAGCCTGGGTGGAGGCAGGACATTACCCCAAGCGCTGCTGTCTCTGGGGCATGCTTTCAGCTCCCGGCTGTGCCTACAGAGAAAAGGAGAAGCACGGCTGGAGGCATGTGGGTGTAAAGCAGCGCCGGCTTGAACCAGCCCCTCGTGTATAATAACAGTAGTGAAAACCGGAGGCATGCCTGCCACCCCCGCTCGGCTCCGTGCACACCGGCATCTCCGAGGGCTTGGCTGGTGGTGCCTTGCGCCCGCGCGATTGCATCTGTCTGTGTTACCCGCGCGAGACAGATGAGAGCTTTCATCTCACTGTGCCAGCTTGCCTTCCACTACCCTTTGATACCGCAGCACGTATAAATAGAGACCCGAGCGCTGACAGGCAAGGAAGCTCGTCTGCCCACTGCAAAGGCTGAGGTGCCCTGCTCCAGCTGCTCGGCATCCTCACAGTGTGTGCGTTTGCCAAAAGTGGGGACCATGCAGGATGCTTTAGCAATGCTTACTGAGCTCAGCATCCCTCGGCGCTTGTTCAAGTCTTCTGTGAATGCCCCAGAGCCTGCGAGTCATGTGTCTGGCCTGCATGGCGCAGGTGTATGCCATCAAGCCAGCTCAAAAGGGCACTTATGGGAGCTGTAGGCAAAGCTGGGGACGTGCAGGGCATTTGTCACAAAGGAAACAGATGCTCAGGTGTGCTCCGCGCTCCTTTGCCCCCAACATTCAACTGTTTCACAGATGGTCATCTTTCTCTTCCAAAAAATGCACTTCAAGGGCTGGGTCAGTGCCTTCCGAGGTTGCTGGTTTGACAAGGATTGCAAGGCTTGCCCTCAGAAGAGATGAGTGAAATGCCTATAACAAATCACACTCAACCCGCTGGGTTGCAAGTCCCCTCACGCCGCATTCATGGAGAGATTTGTACGAGAGGTCAGCCTTTCAACTCACAGCCAAAACCCTACCTAAGGGCACCTCCCAAACACATCTCAAAATCATGGCGCCAACGTGAAACCAAACAACAGAAAGCACAGTGCAAGAGCAAATACTCAGAAGGCAAAAGAAAAAGCCCCAAGCCCCTGACTTGGGCTGCTTTTGTGTTCACTGGAATCAGAAACTCAAAACAAAAAGCGCAGGCTGAAAAACCCAGACAGATCAAAGGCAGAGAAAATGTTCTCACAGATCTTTGTGAAGTGAAACTACCCAATTTCACAGAGTTTCACTTGCAAGCAGAAGTGGTGAGCCCTGCGGACAGCATTAAGGATGAATTGGAAACTCTACCAGGTAGCAACTACTGGCACTCTCTGCCACTCTGCTTTCATAGCCATCCCTTCTGTGCCCTTTCCATTTTTCCTGTTTCAATTGTCTGGACACTTCAGGGAGGAGATATCCATACTATTCATCTACGATTTGGGAAGCTGACTCAAGTTTATACAAATATGAGCCATTCTCGTAAGATGACAGAAGAGGTAATGAAGGTAATGTAATGTTTTCTTGTCCCTCTCTCAGACCAGTGACTCACCTACCCCATGGCTGCTAACAGATGTCTTGGAGGCAGCCACAATTCATTTTGCAGACAACAGACCTGCTTACATGGGAAGCTTTCTTTTCAAGCTTTAGCAGAGACTGGTTTGTGCTCTGAAACACAGCAGTGAGAGACGGAGGGAGAACTTAAAACCTTCCAAAGTACATGTATCTTCTTTTCCTGGCTGGTGCATATCAAGAAACTGCTATCTGTATTCAGATTGAGCTGTTCTATGGACTCTGGGTTTCAATAAATTTTGTGTTTCAACGGTGTTTCACAGCAACAAGCTCTTGCTTGTAATCACCCGCTGTTTAAAACTATTTCTACCGTACTCTGCTTCATTGACTAAGCACAGAGAAAGAAGGAAGGAGGAGGAGATGAGAAGGAATGAAGGATGAGCTGACTGTCTGTTAGAGTTGTTTTACGAAAACCCAAACAAATAGAAAACACAAGTAAATAAATCAAAACTTAAAAAAAGGGGAGAGAAAAAAAAAAAAAAAAAAAAAAAAAAAAAACAGAGCAAAGGCATATTTGCACATTGCAATGTGTGGAAGCACAGAAAATCTGTCAGTATCAGCCCCTGCGAGGGCTGGAGGACTTTCCTGAACTCTCCCATCGCATGGTGCCATATCTTTCCTACCCGTCAACACAAGCAGCCTATGCCTCTGACAGAGGTCTCGATAGCTACATGGGCAGTCTTCCTCCTCCACCGCGGCAGCCTGCAACGTACAAACCCTTGCCCCACGTGCGTGGGAGGAATACAGGCTTCCCTTTCTTGTTGCAGAGCAACCTCAAAATATTCCTTGTGGAGGCACCGTAGCTGGCAACTTCTGCAGAGCACCAGCCCACACGATCTTTTTCCTGCAAGTGGCATTTCACCTACTCTGCATCTCAACTCTGTGTTCCCCAGCCTCACAAGAGGACCTGTCCCCAACACCTCTGCCCAGACTTCTGGGCAGCCTCTTTAGAGATGTCACTGCTGGGACCAGCAGGTCCCTGCTGCCTGTGGCTGGGTCACACAGTAGGGTGTGTGTCTCCTGTTGGTGGAAAAAAACGTTGTATTTTAGCAGGAAATGCTTTCACTGTTTCCTTAGGATTGTTCCTCTTAGCTTTTTAAAGCAAGTATGCCCATTTCTAAATCCAAGAAGAGCGATTTATTTGACTTTGTTTAGCTGGGGCCTCTCCCCTCTAGAATAACAGAATGGTGCAAATATTCATCCTGCTTTACTTTAGAAGTAAAATTCTTCAGGAATTCATGAAATTACTTCCATCAACTTGCCAATATCACTGGCCTTCACATGCACTTAAAGATAAGCAGACTGTTCTTTGGGGTCATGCCTTAGCAGTCAAATTCAACTATGGTTATCTTCTAGACATTAAAAAAAAAAAAAAAAAAAAAGCAGTTTATTTTCTATTCATATTGCATGCACTGGCAGTGTAGGGAAGAGACTTTTATTTCCCATCAGAGAGCTACCTCAGAGCTGAAGCTTGGCTCTCAGGCTTAAAATACAGTGCAAAGGTAAAGCTGCCATGCAGCACTCTCTTGTTAAGGGCCATGGCATAAAGACCAAGCCAATCCTGGGTATCTGCACACCTGCCCTAACCCTAAGCCCTCTCTGACACTGTCATCACAGTACATCACTACACTGAGTGTCACTGGCCTCAGAGAAAGTTTCTTGATCTTACCAAAGCAATGTATTCACCTCTGTCAGATACTTCACCCCACCCCTTGCTTCACAGGAATTCCTGTGTTCAGGTCTCTCAACGTTTCTCAAGGCTTTTAAGTGAATCAAGTCTCAAACAGAGAGAAGGCTGTGCAGATCAGACATTGTGCAAGTTTTTTTCTTCCAGTAAGCCAAGGTTTTTATGAGCTTTAGTTCAATTTCCTATTTGCAAGACGCAGTTAGCATTTTATAACACTGACACAAATTAACTCTTTGTAAAAGCTCAGGCAGCCTAAAAAAAAAAAAAAAAAAAAAAAAAAGCTGGAAAAGTTTCCTCACTACACAGTGACAACACAGCCTATGCCATTGTGAAAAGAGTGTTTTCTTTTACCGAGTGAGGGAATGAAAAGCCTTTCCAAATACACATCAGTGCTGGGTACCATGCATCTCCCAGAGAAACATGCTTTTTTCAGAGCTGCTCCAGTGTGTGATTACTTCTACCCATGTCATACACAGCGACCTGCAGGGAGAAGCTGTGCCAACAGCAGGTGCTTTCTGCAGCGCTCGATGCCCCGCCATGACCACACAAGGGCTGCTCCTGGAAACGCTCAGCATGGAGGTGAACGCTTGCCCTGATTTCAGCACGGGGCTGTGCACCCTGCTGAACAAACATGGGGCCACTGGCAGGAGACAAGTTGCCACCAACCTGCAATAAGAAACTCTACTCTTGGATATAGCTGGCTACAGGACCAGGCACGGAAGCCCTTCGTGAGCAGGAGGAGCTTCTAGCGATGTTTTTCTTTAGCATTTGCAAAGGAGGAGACCCAGAGTGGCTGGGCACTGCCAGCGCATTATAACTAAGACGAAGGTATGTGCAGTGTGTTTTTCCATGTTGTAAAAGTGCGCTGCTGGAGTTTATTTTCATTTGATAAGAAACCAACAAAATGTTGCACCACAAGGTTTCACTGCCTTGATTAATTAACAAAAAATACAACAAAGGAAAAACCAGGAGCACCCTTCTTCGTATATTGAAATAATTAGACCTTGCAGCAAAAGGGAAAATGAGGAAAAAGTGCCCTCCTGGAAAATATTATGCTTCATGCTATTTAGAGCCCCATAAAAACCCTATGCTTTTATGAAAAGACTAGTTATGCTGTCTTCCTTTGCAGGCAAAATTGTAAGGAAACCTTACGTGATAGCCTAACACCCACTCATAAAAATAAAGATGTTATGGGGTGGGGTAGTATCATGTAATTATCTAGGCCACTTTTAAAAACTACATATGCACGCTTTAACAGAAGGCTCTCCAGTGGGCCTTGTTTTGGTCCTCCAAGATACCAGTGCTGAGACCCAGCCCGTACACATGAACCTGCATCCACCATTAAATAGGGGCAGCAAATTCGTCCTTGTCCTTCAAACCTTGCTAGAGGAACAGTTGAAACTACAGCCTTTCTGATACAATCCCGTATTTGAGAAAGGGATGCACTGCAACTACACACTTACAAAGGCTCTTATTTTATGCTCCTGACAGGCAGCCCGGGCCATAAACTGAAAGAGGCCATTAGGAAAATGAGGCCGTCATTAGAAGCAGAGCCGGTAAGCATTTGAATGCGTTCAGCAGGCGGAGCGCACCGCTGGAGGTTTCAGTACAATCCTCATTTCTTTACCTAGTGGCAGAAGCGAGGACCTGGTGTGGTGTGATAGAAAAAGGGCCATATCCTTTGTGGTGTACCACATTCAATTAATATGTCAGGCTTTCTACGTCTGTCACTGCTCACAGGGGCTGGAACAATTGTTCTGCTTCCCCACTCCCCTCTTTTTTCCCAATTTTCACATAGTATCATGCTAAAAAAGAGTTATGGATTTCCTTCTCAGAGAACTGCATGGACTGATAAAGTGAAATCCATGGCAGAAACCAACTTGTTATTTTTCCCTTTAACTCATAATTTCAGTTAAGAGAGAAAGTGCAATAAATTTTGGCGGGAAAAAATAAGAAGAGACATTTTTGGACATTTCTAATGGCCAGTCTATAGTAAACACTGTTGAGAAATATGGGTGAGAACAATCCACCCTGGGGATGATTATTTTTCTTGCTCCAAGGCCCAAGCATTACTTTTCTTGTGTCCAGGGTTTTGAAACTGCTCTAAGCTCATTTCTGAGCAAAGACAGGAACAAGAAAGAAGCAGCTGGAAAACCGTCGCGGGCTTCCACGTTTAAATGCAATAATGTTTCGCAACGATGTGGCATTTGCTTTATAACCCAACCAAAGTGCCCTTGCCCAAACTCTTCTAGCACTATGCAGCTGCAGTTTCATCTTGCTTGTGCTAGATATGTATCAGGATGTGTATCAGGCTTGCCAGCACTGGATTCCTTAAGGTACCCAATGCAGTGGGGACATAGCCCATGAAGGAGTACAAATTACTGGTACTACAACACTAACAATAATAATACAAACAGTATTAAAGAGGATAATAATACCCATAGAGAAGCGCTGAGTGAAACCACTCACTGGATTAAGCAGCCTTAATGAACCTCCACCTTGCCTGGACAAGAGAGGATCGGCCCTTGGTCCTCAAGCAGCCGCTCCCCAGCCCTCTGGGCTCCTGCCTGCAGCATGGCTCCTGCTGTCCTCAGCCCGTCCCGCCAGCTGGCTGTGCCCTGGCATGCTGCAAGCACAGCCCCGGGAGGCTCACTGTTTGTTATTTTATCAGAAGGACAGAATTTCCTCAACAAGGCTTCCTGCGCTACAGATTAAACAGCAAACAGTTGGGTCAGCTAAAAAAAAAAAAAATAAAATAAATAAAATAAATTAAAAAAAAAAAAAAAAGCTGACGAAATGCAGGAAGATCCTTCTTGTTATTCTAGCAGTATTGCTTCCTTTGCTTGGTAGCGGTGCCGGGGAAACGTTAGTACCGGAGTCAGCCGCCTCTTGCCAAACCTCCGGCATCTCCCCTGTGCTGGCTGGGAGATGCTGCGCGCCCGCCCGACCCGCGCAGCTCGCTGCGATTCAGCTCCCTGCTGGCGTCAGGAAAGCCAGATGCAGAAAAAGCTTGCAAAGCGGGGTGGTGGTGATGGGGACAAAAAGAAAAAGAAAGAAAGCGAGGAGGGACGGCGGGCGGTTCGGCACCCTGCCCTCAGCAGTCACCGGTTGGCAGGAGCGGCGCGGGGCTCGCCGAGCGGCTGCCGGCTGTGACACAGCAGCTGGGACGAGCCTTCCGCATTCCTGGCTCGAGTATTAATATGAATAACGCATGACTCACACTGACACCGCCAGCGAGGCCGGGAAACTGTAGTCTGCAGCTATAAAGAGCTACACAGCGCTGCCGTCTTGCAGCGCGCCGGCCAAGTGTGATGAGCGATCTGTGCCTGGCTGTGCGCGCTGTCATCCGGCCGGGCACGGCGCTGCAGAAGGGGCTCGGATGCTCAGAGGGTGTACGTGGAAGGGGAAAAGTTCAGCTGTATCATGAGCTATCTGGGAAGGTAGTTGCGAGGAAGCAGGCGAGTTTCTCGTGCCAGTCCCTGGCTTACTTGTATGAATAACCCATGACTAAAGCATCAGCTCCACGGGCGGTTGTGAGAATCTCTGAGCGAGCCTCCGAGCACACTTGGTCACTGTGCAACGGGACAAATTGCCGGGTGCTGCAGTCCAATTCCCTCCTCAGCCCTGCCAGGACTAATTCATTTCCCTAAGGGTGGCTTCTGCCAACAACTCGCACTCATCCAGGACCCTCATGGCATCAACAGCAACTCTTGAGTTTACCCACGCCGCTCCTTCTCCTGAGCCACGTGAGTTGCAGCTAGGTTTAAGCAGGCTTCTGAGCTTCCCTGACTTCTCCCCCGGTAAGCGTGCCTTAACCAAGGCTGACAGCGCAGCATAAGTGAGACAGCATCACGCTCTGCTGGCTGCAGGCATGAGCCTGCTGCTCGCTCGCTGGGGTGCAGCCTGTAATGGGTGTCGTATGCGGCTGGCTGTCATTTTTCATGGCAGTGGCTCAAAAAGTCATAATTCTGCCAAAAAGAATCAAAAGGGGCTTGTGCTACTGCTATTGTATCTGCAGTAACTCATGTGAGCTACTCTAACACACTTTGATTTATGAAGAGAAAATTCACAAGCATGCAGTGCCCCTTTGAACAGCTTAAATGAGCCCTTGTTATAATCTCTTTAACGGACTGATAAGTAATGAGGTGGTATTCCTACAAGCTCAGATATTAGCTTGAACAAGAATGCCTCAAAGAAGACCAAAGTGGGAAAAAAATGTGTACTACAAGGATGTCCCCAGATACTCTCCAAACATGCATTTTCTTAAGTATGGGATAGCGAAAAGTATATTTAGAAAGTCTGAATGGCACTTACCTCTCAAGAAGTGCTGGTAAGAAGGAAGTGACTCAAATATGCTGTTTGAAGCCATTGTTTCCTCTTTAAAAGTCACTCTCTCTTTACAGTGAAGGAATATATGATTTCTTCTACCTTGGGAAGCGAGAAATGAAGAATGGTCATTGTTACCACCCTCTGCCCAGCCATCACTCTCTGCGCTCCGCTGCCTCTGGAGCAACCCGAAGCAGATTATAAAGTTCTTTTGCTAAAAGAACTCCAAAATTGTTTCTTAAAAAGAAAAAAAAAATAGCGGATCGGTTGTGGTTGATGATGCTTACCACTCTACGAAACTCTGTGGTTTGCAGTCAAAACGATTCGCCCTGCCTGCTGACCAATATCCCGGACCCGCTCTTGTGTGACTGCCTCTGTACCCAACTTGTGGTTCTGTGGTTGTTTATGAGGCCCAAAGAAGTGTTTCACACAACCAAAATTACAAATTTAACTGTTCCCCTTTCCATAACCTGCCTCCATTGGTCCCTCTGTGTCACGTGACCTGAGTGATGTCGACTTACTTTCTTTTTTTTTTTTTTTTTTTTTTTTTTAAACTTTCTGAAGTCATGCCCTACCCACTCCACCTGCCCTCCCCGGGGCTGCGCGAGGCAGCCATGGAGGTTGCTGAGGGAGGGAAAAGAGAAATGACTCACCGGCCCCGGTGCTGCAGGCGGGCTTGCTGAGCTAGTGCAACGCTGCTTGTTTTGTTGTTTGTGGTTTTTGGAACTACTGATTATTTTGATAGGGATTTCATTGCTGCTTATTCAATAGTAATTCAAACCCGGGTATTAGTTGGCTGTTAGGGCAGGATGTGTAAGTCATCCTGTACAACGTTAGGAATCAGCTGTAGGGAAGACCACTGGCTGGGGAAAGTACACTGCAGAGAGGTGAGAGAAAGAAAGAGAGAGAGAAAGAAAAAGAGAGAGAGAGAGAGAGAGAGAGAGACAGAGAGAAAGAGAGAGAGAAGGGATGAAAAAGACAGTAGGAAAGAAAGAGAAAAAAAAAAAATAAAGGAAGAAAGAAACAAAGAGAGAGAGATAGAAAGAAACCAAAAGGCAAGGAAGAAAGGAAGAAAGAAAGAAAGGAAGGAAGAAAGGAAGAAAGAGAAAGAGAAAGAGAAAGAGAGGGAGAAAGAAAACAAGAAAGAACAAAGAAGAAAGAAAAGTAGGAAAGGAAAAAAGGAAGAAAAAGAATGGAAAAAATAAACTAAAATGAAAGAATGGAAGAAATGATGAAAGGAAGAAAGGAAGAAAAAGAGAAAGAAAGAAGAAAGGAAAAAGAAAGAAAAAGAAACACTTGGGAAAGAGAAAACAAACAAACAAAAACGAACAAACAAACAAACAAAAACCCACAGCAACATTATTTTGAACCTGTATAGTGGCATCTTCTGAGGGAGCTCTTGAAGGACACTAGTTTCTGTGAGCCCACACGAAAGCTTTGTGAATTCTCCCATAAGGTTAAATCCAGTAGTCCCTGTCTAGCACAATGAGCCTTCCTGTCAGAAGGATCCCTACCCATGAGCAAAACTGAGTAAAATCCTCAGGATGCAGCACAACATCTCTGAGGTGGCAGTGCATCAATCTTGTCAAAAATTCTTCCCTTTACTTCTCCCTCCCCAGAAAAATTAAACAAACAAACAAAAAAGGGAAAGGTCCTCACTTTACATCCAATTGGCAGCTCGGGCTCTGGCTGCAACAGCACAAAGGTGTGGGAGGAAAATCACTTCCTACAGCACAGAGAAGTGACTGCTGTGCCACTTTCTGCCTCCTTTTCCTCTCCTCTGACCAGAGGGCAGCAACCCATTGGCATCTGGGCGCAAAGCCCAGGCCACTCAGCTTCAGTAGCCTGAGACCTGCTCAACCTTTGCCAGAAAAAGTTCTGCACCCAAAGCAAGGCTGACGCAGAACGACGCTTTCCCTGCCTGCTCTGAGTGACCACCATGGTGAAAAAAAAGTGAGAAGCCTTTGCAATATTAGCAGAAATGCTGGTAGGTGGAGCACAAACACGTAATAACACACACTGCCTCCCGCGAGGAGCAAAGCCCCCAGCACGCAAGCACCGTCCATGCAGATCACACCCAGAACTGCCACAGGGCTCTGTGGTTGCACCTGCAGCCCGGAGCAGGAATACCTCGACAAAAGCAGGCGCTTCGTGCATTTTTTTTTCTTTCTGCTTATTGCAACTTTGGAAGTCAAATTCCTGACACTGCTTTACTGCCTACATTTCTAGTGCAACTGCAGCCTACGCCCTGGCTTCCTTCAGAGTTGGGGGGGGGAGCTGTGGGTGCATGTGAGGAAGGTTTTCCTCAAAAAGAAAAATTTGCTGAAGCAGAGTCTTCTCACCATGCAAAAGGAGCAGTTCTGGACAGCAAGCACAGGAAGACTGGGGCACTTTTCTGCCTCACAGTGAGTCCAGCTTAAACTCCTGCTTGAACTCCAACTAAGCTAGTGACCTAACCACGTTCTTTTGTTTGTTTGTTTGTTTGTTTTTCTGACTGTGACCAATTTTTAGCAGGTCTAGGGGGATAAGCCTCACTCCACTATGACATAAATACCTCAACGAGCACCTACTGAAGGCAAAACATTGTGCTGGCTGTGCCAGGAGCTCATCTGAGAGGGGGAAACGTGGGCCCAAGTGCCCCAGTGCCCACGGGGAGCTCAGGGGGCTTTGCTGCCCCACTGGGCCAGGCCTGGGCCACACTGGCAGAGGGAGCCCAGCAGGGAAGAGGAGAGATTTTAAAATGCTTTTTATTTCTCCTCTTCTAGTATTAGAGGGGCAGGATTGCTGCCAGGGCTGGGGCTGACGTCCAGGCAGGCAGAGCATGTGCCGTGTCCATCCGCGTTGCTGTGGGCAGAGCACGGCGTGTCAGCGCACCTGTGAATGCCAGCGATGCTAATGCCTTCACCCCCGTCATCTGCCGTGAAGGCCAGGACATAGCTATGCTATGTGAGAAGCAACAGTTGGGCTGGTTTTGTCATCTCATTGCTAGGGCAGATGATGCAAGGGAAAAGACTGAGTGTTTCGAAATACAGCCTGCCACTCCGGTCTCTGCTCTGCTCTGCCAGAAGTCAGCTGCGAACAGTACGCAGGAATATGCTTTATTAAGCTTTAACCACCTTGGATTTTCAAGAAACGGACTGTGCTATGCAAGTCTGTGCTACACCCAGGCACGAGGATGTATGGCACTTCTCCCAGGCCACTGATACGCCCTCCAGAGAAGCCATGAATCCCACCAGCATGAGCCACCGACATGTTGCTGTTGACGCTGAATGCACCACAGTGCCATTTTCTGCTGGGTACACATCAGCTGTTCCTACAGCCCTACAATTCATCTGTGTCAAAATTTACCACTAGCATAGCTGGCATTGCTCAGAGGAAACGAATAAACTGGATCATTTCACAATTCATGCCCCAAGGAGTGCATCCAAAGGTTGCCATGTAAGCTGTGCCATCATTAATGCCAGTCTCAATTATTATTATTTTTTTTAAAGCTGTCCTGCAGTTACTGTAAACTGAGGCTGTTAGAAAACTCATGTCACTGGTACTTAGACATCCTTTGCTTTCTAATGAATAAGATGCAAGATAATGGTTAACCTTCAGGGAGTAATATCAGTCTTAGATCTAAAAGCTGACACATCATGAAACAAATTAACAAGCCACCACAGGATGATGGAAAGATCAAATTGTGCCAGCAGTCAAATTTGCCAAACCAAATTTGTTTAATTTGGTGTAGGGGGTAGGAGACAGAGATTCAGGGACACTAAGAAATCTGTTTTCTACGTTGCTGCTGCAGAGCGTGGCCCCTTGGCTGGGGTTGTTGGCTGGACAATGACCTCCAGTAAACAGGCCTTGATGCTGGATATGTATGTGTGCTAGAATCTTACTCTCAGTCAGCAGATCCCATATGTTGGAGACTCATAAGGTTGCCAGAATTTGGAAAATGACAAAATCTCAAAAAAATAACCAACTATGAAACAAACAGTTCTCTCTCTCTCTTTTTTTTTTTTTTTTTTTTTTTTTTTTAGTGCAAACACTTAAAGTTTCAGTGGTAGGAATGAAAAAAACAACTCAGGGGAACTTCTTAGAGCCTAGATTTTTCAGTCTACATATAAACTGCCTTTTTTCCCTTGTAGAGCATGGTAGCCACTGACCCCACCAAGGTACACCCCAGAGGCCAGCTACTTTGCAGGCCGCAGAATCCCACAAGCTACTGAATGGCCCAAACCAGAATGATTTAGGGATTATTTCGTCCGCTCTCAAGAGGTGTTGTAAGGTCAGGTTTACAGTTTGAGGCTTGACACAACAATACAGGGAGGCCTGTGGTCTCTCCAACTGCCCTACAAATGACCGTCTGTAGGAAACAAAGGCTTCCTTCCCTCCAGTGATAGCAGCCTCTCAGTTTTTATCCTCCTTTCCATTTAGAGTCATTTTTATCCCTCGGGATCTTCCAGTAAAACACCACACATCTCAGTGCATCAGGACATGGTGGACCCTGGGGCGTAACCTGCAGTGTTAGGTGCACTCTGTGGCTCAGCTCCCTCACATCAAAGCCTGGACATCACAGTATGAAATACACCGTGTGCCTGACCAGCCTTGGGCACAGCAGGTTTGGGTTAAATACGGGTAGGGACAGACAATTGCTGCATGGGTTGGGGTGACCTGGGGCAGGAAAATACCAGGAGATGCCATTCCTTTACATGTCCTCGTCCCATCAACGGGAGAGAGCAAGATTAAAGCAAAGCAAATGCTTGAAGCCTTTGCTCACCAGCAGCCAATGAGGGTGCCAAAAATCTTGAAGCCAGAGAAAACTTCAAATCTTCTAAGCATAATATTTTACCCAAACTCCAGTTGCACTCTAACACACCCCCAATATACCCCAAAGAAACACAGCCCAGGTTCTCCCTGACACACCTTTGTATGCCAAGTGTTTTGGCACAGAAGTTGCAGAGAAGAAATGGGAGAGCAGGTTTGAAGCTGCCTGTACACTTTGCTCAATACATAATTTGTATTTTCCCTCCTTAATATTCTTACTTGCTTCCTACTTTTTCTGGAAGCCAAAATGAAGGCTTTGGGCTTCCAACACCTGCATATGTATTCCTCTGCCCAACAGTGCCAGAAAAAGAGCTGAAGTTTTCATCCCTTCCAAAGGAAAAACACTACTCGTTGCTGACCTAAACCCACGCCATATGTCAAGGTGAATGCTAATGAATGGCAGCATTAAAATACATGAGTCTGAACCACTTGCTGAGTTAGTGCTGAGAGGCTGGCAATGGCATGGACCAGGCAGCCCTGCAAGATCATCACAGGATAGCAGAGCATAGGTTACAGAGAAGCACTTGCTTGCCATTATCAGGGAGCTGTGCTTTGTGGTGCCCTCCCAAAACAGTATAAATAATGTGTAAGTAACAGATATACAAATGACAACTAAAACAAACGTGGAGGAGAAAATGAATGCTGTTTTAAGAGGAACTGGATCTGGCTGTTATTTGAGGCTGTCAGTTAACATGGCAGAGGGGAGCATGGAAACATTTTTTAAAAAAAAACAAGCATTTCACTCCAACAGTTTCAAAAAAAATGCTTTAGTTTTTCATTTCAAAAGTGACCCAGATTAAATAACTAAGCTAAAAAAAAAAAAAAAAAAAAAAAAAAGAGTGACCTAAATGAACTGTTTCCTTCTGGTCTTCCTGTTTTGCAGCTATACCAAAAATGCTACATCAGTGCTGCTACAGAGTGCTCTGTTACAGCAACTCTGATAATGCAGAACCTGACCACTATCACTCCACAACTTCTGGTCTTTTTTCCCCCTGGATACAGGGGTTATTTTATTCTTTCTCCAATAATTTATTGTCGTAACTGAGTTCGGAGAGCATTTCACCAGTCTTTTGCTGGTGGATTGGAATGAGTTAAATGGTTGTGGACAGTGGGGTAAAGGGAAGAAAAAAAGTGGGAACATTCCAGGAAAGGTTGGAAAAAGGAAAGGCCTCAAATATCCAGTAAGCACCTAAAATTGTTTGCACATAGAAGCTTGCATAAAACTTCAGATCGTTTTGAACTTTCCTGCAAATATTGCAGGCCAGCACCAATTTGGATCTATCCTACATGTCCCTAAACCTCATGCAAGAACTAGTGAGTGCCAGGGGTGTGCTACTCCCTCATGCCAGACACAGCAGTGCCTAATTAGAGGTGATGCACACTGGTTAATACAATCACCTCCCCACCTTGTTGACTTTTCCATTTTTCCCTTTCTCATTTGGGGAGCAAATTCCAGCCAGAGCCCTGACCCGTCCTTTACATTGGCATGTGTCACCACTGTACGTTTTCTCAATCACTGCATCAGCAAATTCCAATTTGGCTGAAAATAAAAGAGAGAACCAGATCAAGCTGGATAAATAATAACACAAAACAGTGGCAAGAATTGAACTTGGATTAAATCTGCAAGGGCTGAGTTTGAACTTCCATCGATAAAATCACAAAGCAAGCACAGTAAAACAGGTAACATGCTTACGTTTCTTCATGTGAGATGTTTTACTAGAATCAGTGGGATTACTCATGAGTGGGGGAGAGCTTTCCAGGGTTCACCGTCTCTTTGGTTTCTTGTTTTTAGACACTTCAGCAGGACTGTGTAGATACTGTCGTCAACTATGTTCCACTGTTTACATTTTTGGATGCTTTTGGTGACATTTTTCAAAGCAACTCATCACTTTCCTGTAAATGGAGAAAATAAGAAATTAAATAGCTACTTAGAAAGAAAGAGAAAGAGAAGTAATTCAAGTAACTTAGTGAGAAAACTACAAATTACTTATCTGTTGTGAGTTTTGAGAATAATGCTTAGCATCTGTCTTTCACAGAAAATCCTAGTAAAAACACCTTATTCCATCTAATTGCTTAGAAAAGACTTCACCATTTATGGTAGGACTCACTCACTGTAAGAACATCAGCATGCTGCTGATGATGAATAAATTAAACCTGAAGTTGGTAACATGATCTCAAATAAGACTGGTGTCTTTATGGCTATGCTAACCTCTTCCTGGTGTGGTGCCATGTCTGGAGGAGGCTTTGGGTGAAATAGCTGGTGGCCTGGGACTTGCACCTTGTTACCGCCCTCCACCACAATAGTCTGCAGCTGCCTCTCCACTAACCTGATTCCATATGAAAGCCTGATGAATGCCCACCTGAGCATCCCCTGTAAAGAGCAAGCAGATTCCCAGAGATTTTCCAAAACTGTGCAAAGGTTTTGGATGCCCCACTGCTGAAGGAACCTCACAGAAAAATGCATACCAAATTTCTTTATGTGGCTTCAGTAAATATCCTAATATTAACTGCCCCCCTGTCTGGTCTTAGTTGACTTAGGGAAAATGCCTAACAAGCAGGATCTGGAAGGATGTTTGGGGTATAAGTGACATCATGGATAAAAGATTACTGTGATGTAAAAGGGTGAACAAAGAGGCTGGGGAGCAGCCATTTGCAATAGCAATTGCATAGCATGAGAATAGTAGAGAGAAGGAAAGAGAGAGAGAGAGAAAGGAGAAGTGAGAAGAGTCGTGGAGCTGAGGACACAAACATTGCGCTTGATGCAGAAAGCTGGAAAGCCAGAGATACATTCAGAGAGGGAAGGCTGATTAGGGAAATGGATGAGTCTTGAAGAAATTGCAACAAGAACAGGCTGACTGTGTTAGAGAAAACAGGCAGAGATTCATGAAAAAGGTATGCAGCATCATATAAATGAAGACTCACCACTAAATAAAGCAGAGGAGTGCTGTTGTTCATCTGGCCTTAAATGAAGGAGAATGGACTGTGAGAATCTGCCTTGAACCAGTACAAAAAAAGTTATTTTCATAGATTTTCTGAAGGAAATGTTTAACACTGCATCCTGGGAAACAGCTTAACAAAAGAAAGAGGGGTACAAGGGGGTTGTTTACCTCATTTTTCCATGTTGTATTTGCTTGCTTTTTCTTCCATATGAATTTATGGCAAAGTCTGGGTTTTCCCCTTTCCTCAATGTGAAATCCTTGGATGTGTTAATTGCTGGCTTGGAGATATGCTAAGTTGAAGTGGAGGGCAGCTGAGGTTTAGGCACATCCTGCAAAACAATGCTTGAGTTTCTTGCGTTGCCAGCCACAGCACACCTCTACCACTTCAGTGACTGTCCTGGTGGGCCCTGTCAGAGTAAAAAAATACATCCCAAATCCCCAGAATGTATCCTCATTTGATTACAATAAAATCTGATGTGGCTGTAAGAGTATCTGTATTTGAAGGTCTTTACCTACAGGCCAGCAAAGAGCCAGGCACCTACCCACACATGGCCATTTAGTGGCAGGCACGACTGGAGCTGATCCCATCCTCACTCTCTTAAGCAGCTGGTAGCTGTTGCATCAGGTCTGTTTTTGTGTTGAGCAAAGTCTCTTCAGCAAGCAAAGAAGGCATTTGTTTTCCCAGAAACTGCTGTCTTCCTGCCCACAAAACATCCACACCTTTACTTGTATAACAGACTGAAATGCTGAAAGCAGGATGGGGTGTAGCAAGGGTGCTCCATAAAGAGCAGCTTCAGTCTTGCTTTATGTGTCGATCATCCTATGTTTGGCCACTCTTCCACCCAACATCAGCACGTCTGATAATGCAGTGTGGAGGCAGTGCTGTAATAAATGTATTCTCTTACAAAAATGTGCTCAGTTTATGCATGGTTGTCAGTGGGATGAGATACACTGTAGAAAGCTAACGAGAGTTAACTGGGATGTGAATTTCCTTTTAGGCTGCACTCCTAAGGGAAAGAAGTACTGGTGAGTCACAGGATGGGAGTCTGGGCTGATGAGAGGTCCAGTCACAAGCAATAGCACTCTGCTCACATCACTTAATAAGCTTGTCATGTGTTGGCCAACCTACAAAGATACAATGACAGCTGTATGAGATTCCTTGTAGCCTCAAGGTAGTGTCTAGCAATAAAAAAGCAGACACTAGAATGGGAGGAAAACTTGCAAATGAAAAGTTTTCATTCTGTTTTTACAACCTTTGAATCCTGTTCAACCCTCTCTCTTAAATTTTACTCTTTGTTCAGCAGCTAAACATAGCCCAATGCCATGGTTTCAGTGGAACTTCCCTGTTATAAGCGTACAGTTACCCAGAACAGAACTTCACCTTTATGTCTGCAACCTTTTATTCAGTAGTCCTAGAAATTATGAGGAAAACTCTCCCTGAAATACCATACCAGAACCCTCTTACCCTGGGGCTGCAAGCAGTGCACATAAAACAGATCATACCACAACACAGAAAGCAACAACATGCAAAACTCCTTTTTGTGTTGACATAGTAGTTTAGTGCTGTGACCTTAGTACACCTGTAGGAAAAATGAGCAACTCCCTTCAGTCTGGGAGGGAAGATGATCTTACTGAAACAATCCTTTGGTTAGAAAGTCTTCTGTAGATGTGATGGTGGAAATTGTCAGCAGTAGCTAATGATTTTCCATACTGCCACCATGAGCCCATGGAATGATTTGGTGATAGGAAGCCTGGTCCTTTCTGAAAGTTAGGTCCCTTTAATTTGGTTCATAATTTCAGCTGTGGTTTCATATCAGAAAATGAAGCACGTGGCACTGTTACCTGCTTCTAAAAATCTTGGTCATAGTGTATCTATAATTTTTTTTTTGAAGTCCCTCTTCCCAGCATGTCAATGCCCGATAGCATCAAAATACAAATAGTGCCCACAGTGCATGCTTTCCTAATAACTACTGCACACATCTCTGTTTAAGAAGTGGTTCCCCCTGGTTTAGATTAAGTGAACAATCAAGGTGATCAGTAAAATCTGGGGTTGGTCTCCATTTTGCTCGGGGGATTACTGTGTCTCCCAGCCTGTCAGGATCTAGCTGAAAAAGGGGATGTGGAATGGAGACCTGGCATGAAAACTGGGATCCCTGGGGAAGAAATCTTTCCAAATCCTGCTGCAGTCAGTAGTGCAACCACTGGAAAATTTCGGATATCCTGGAGCCCTGTTTCTCTTTGCTCCACATTATTCACTATTAAATGCAGTTTCAGAGAGATCCTGTAGTTTCACATTGCTTTCCAGGAGCAAATCCCTTGAAACAAACTGGCATTGTCTTCTTTTTCTTTTCAATTTGCCAGTGGATAAATGATAAAATCCGTTGTGCTGTCAATCTGTATCATACAAGTTTCTTGCCACGGGATTTCTTTCAGAAAAAAATAACCTGTCAGTATAACTGAGCAGCCCGCAGCCTGAGGTGTGGGTGTGCATGTTTGAGAAATTGTAGTGAACTGGGCAGGGATGTCTTTCCCAGCCTGAACTCTGAATCCTACTTGCTGTGTGCTTGTCTCTGAAGGCATACAACCAAACAGTGTTCAAAGGTTCTTTTTTCCCTGGAAAAGTCTCATGCCAAGTACCCTCAAGGGAAAGCATTTGGGGAATCCTTGGATCTCCTCTGATTGCAGCAGCACAGCACACCGAGCTTCAGACCACACAGATGGATAAAATGGCATCAGCAGAAGGAAACCCATGAAAGGAGGTTGCTCACTGAGATATTGGCAGAAATCATGGTTTCAAACATCTGAAGGCCTGATCTAATGCCTGCTGAACTCAATGGAAGGAATGTCATTGGAAACGAGCCCCTGGTTTTTGAACTGTAGTCTTAAAATAAACACAATTTGTTCAGGTTTATTTATTTTCTCTTTGAGAGCTGGCAATTGCTTATTTGCTTGAAGGTAGCAATGTAAGGGTTGTGCTGCTGTTCCCGGTGCCAGGCACGCTGGTGCTGTGACCTAATGGACCTGCAGAGCTGCCATTCTTCCAGAATGCCTGGCACATACTGGGTTTTGCTCTGCCCCTTTAAAAACCAGAACTGTCTCCTTATCTGTACGTTTATCTGACTCTGAGGTCATATGACTGTGAAGAAGCATCGCCTTGCTCCTGTGTGTGTTCAAAGGAAGGGAGCCCTTTGTGCCTTACTGTGAGTCCTGGGACTTCCACTAGGAGTGAGTGCAGCTCATTTCCATCCCCATAAAATCTTACTAGCAGCTGTCACTTGATTTGGTTTCGTTTCTTCCTCGGCACACTCTGAGTAAGGGTAGCATGTCAGCTAATCAGTACATCAGCTTCTATGCATTATTTCCTCTCGTGCCCCTTTAGGGCAGTTAATGAAAACCACTGAGAAATTTTGTCTGGATAAACTCTCAGTGGTCTCACCAAAGGTGCTAGAAATCTGCCATTGGCAGATTTGGCACTGAGCTTTCCTTGAACACCCCCAGGAATGGTGGTGCCACCACTTCCCTGGGCAACCTGTTCCAGTGCAATGTTCACTCGAGCACCTGCAAGAGTTGACGAGAGGGGGACAATGGAGATGAAGAGACCAAGGAACACACCTCAAAACAGGAGAAGTGAAGGGGGAACATCACAGAAGTAATAGTGATGCATTTCTGTAGCTGTATATTCCTAGAAACTGTACTTCCAGCCTCTGGGAGTATGCAATGTACAACTGCATAGTAAGTTTTAGCTACTGCTCTGAACAGTTTATAATTTCAGTGATATGTAAGACTATTCATCCTCCCTTCAGGCTCAGACAGTGACATAGATAGTGGCTGTAATTTGCTGAGGAAGTCTGAGAGAGGGCAAAGAGCTCAACACCAGAGTGGCTGAGCTCTACTCCAGCTTCTTTGAGAATAAAACATCTTCTACACCTTGACGTTTTATGGCTGAAGGGGCCAAATATATGCCAGCTTCTTTCCTTTAAGTTTGCTTTCTCTGTCTGCTCTTAATGTCTGCTTCTTCCTTCCTTCCTTCCTTCCTTCCTTCCTTCCTTCCTTCCTTCCTTCCTTCCTTCCTTCCTTCCTTCCTTCCTTCCTTCCTTCCTTCCTTCCTTCCTTCCTTCCTTCCTTCCTTCTTTTTTCTTTCTTTTTTTTCCTATGATCTTTATTTTTAATGGTTTTAAGACAAAGGACACTTCAATTCTGTCTTGTTCCAGAAAGCAGCACAATATAAGCTGAAGCTCATCCTTGAAGGCTAGAGCAGTCAGACAAGAAGCACCACGAAATGCCTGCTTCCCAGGACAGCCAGGAAAGTGAAGAACAACTAGAGCAGGAAGCAAAAATTCCTCCCTAATGCAAATTGATCTGTGGCACTACAAAGTAGGTCACTATTGTGAAAGACTGGAGGTCTATCTATTAATTCTACTTTTGTTCGATTGTGCAAAGTAGTTTTATTATTATTATTATTATTCCCTTTTGCTACCTTTCATAGCAGAGAATAAATTTGCTGAGAGCTTGAACGTGAGCCTTTGAAAAAAGCAAAACACAACTGCACCTCATGCACATATGCAAAATACAAGGTACTCCATTACCTTCGCTTCATTTTTCTTTTGTTCAGACATTTCTGTGGCATTCAGTGGAAAAAGGCAGCTGTTGTATGGGAGGCACATTAAATGCTAATTAAATAAAATATTAAAACAATCTGCATCAAAGTTGAGCAGAAATGATCAACAACAGATTTCCTTCTGTATTCCATAGGAACTTTGTGCATTTCTGTATCATTTGGTAATAATATATAAAGCACGTCCTTTATGTGGTGTTGAAATATTTTGCCATGGACAATGACATAGCATCGTAAGAAAAACCTCGAATAGCATTTCCAGAGGGTAGCACAGTTAGCCAGTTATGTCTTGACATCAGAGCCTGGACAGCAGCCCTGAAATTGTCTAAGTTCAGGAATATGTGAGAAAACCCACTTTGGTCAGTATCCTAAATAAAAGTTAATAGTCATTTATGTACCTTTACTAAGTTATGGTCTGCTTTAAGTTACCTGCTCAGGTTCATTAAGAGGCTTAGGCAGCATTTAACATTAGTCACCAGACAAGAGTGACTTTCCTGGGAGCAGAGGTGCGGTTTTAGCAAGCACACGGCCACTTCTATGTCAGTGCAGGCAGAATATTTTTGTCCTTTCTGAACCCTTTAAGTAACACGTGCCAGTGATGACTCTTGCAGACACGTTCAACCTCCCTGTATTTAATGATGGAAGAAGGGAAGAAGGGATTTTTCTTTGAGTTAAATTGTACCTTAATGACAGCCAGATGCCTGGCTACAAAGGGCGTTTCAGAGGAGCAGTACCCGGGAGCATTTCCACAGTTGCAGGGAGGTTGTATGCACGTGCCTGAGTGTGTCAAACAAGTAGTAACCTAACACTCGCCCTCCAAGGAAAGAGTCAGTCTGTTGTTCACCGGGGAGGGAAACCTGATAACAGATCCCAAGGAAACCACATAGCATGTTACATCTTTCATGCGTGTCTTTGTGGATCTGGTCAGCTACGAGGAGCTGGCTTACAAAGTCATGTTGTTGACAGCGAGGCAAGAGTTCAAGCATATATAGAAAGGAATCGCTGGAAGTAATAGTGCCAGGGAACAGCCGGTGCTAAGGATCTGACTCCTACATCATGCATATTTCAGGGAGGTTTACCTCAAACTACGGCTAGTCTGACCCAGAGACCGAGTGGGGCCAGAGTGCACCATCCACATCAGTGCCATCTGAAAGTCGTCGGGTTCTTATGGCCCATTAGTACTACACAGCGTGAGACCAAGTGCCACCAGGGGGAACAATCAGGAGACGTGCTTTGAAAGCACACTCCTGATTCAAACTGAAATACTAGTGGGGACGTGCCCTTGGGTGTTTTGACTACATTGGAAATGAACCCTAGGATAGTTTGGCAGCTGGCTGAAGCTGTCCCAAGGCTGTTAGCAACTCCTCTTGGGAACCTGAAGGTAGATGATAAATTCTCAGAAATCTAGAAAAGAGCGAAGCCATCTCTGGCGCTTTTTTTGGTTCATGTACCCGTGAGTGGTTTGAGGGTAAGATGGCATGGAGGAGCAACTAAAAAGGACAAAGAAAACAAGCATCAGGTGCAACCCCCCTGTGTTAACTCATTCAGAAAGGAAACACACCCTACTCTTACTGATGCTACCAAAAGAGTCGAAACCACAAACACTTTGGAAGACAAGACTAAAATCCTAGAAGATCTTGGCCCAGTGAGCAAGAGTGTGAATAAAGAGGGTGAAATTCAGCCAGTGCAAGTTCCAGGTCTTGTGTTTAGCAATAATCAGCTACACAAACACCAGCTGGAGAAACACTGGCTCAGCAGAAGTTCTGCAGAGGAAGACATGGGGCTGGTAGTTAACAGTGCAAGCGTTATCTGGCTACAGGAAAAGCAAGTGCTGAGTGTCATGGGCAAGTCACGCAGCTTAGTCTTTCTGTTTGAGCCGGTACTGGCAAAACCCCAGCTGGAGGGCACAGCCCTCCATAGTCCATCATAGTTCAAGAACGTGGGAAAACTGGAGAGGCCAACAGAGAAGGCCTTGAAGAATGTGGCCTATAGGTTAGATTCAGCTGAGATTGTTTCCTGGTCTGTCAAGGGAAAGCTGATACTGGTCTTCAAACCCATAATGTGCTAACAAGTAGGAAGGGAATAAGCCATGCTCTGTATTCACTGTAGGTAGTCAGGGGTGATGGTCTTTGACTGCAGGTAGGGAGACTTAGACATGAGGAAAAACTTTTTTATTTTTTAGGGTAATTAAACTCTAGAATAAACTGTCCAGGGAGACTGTAAAATTGTCATCACCAGAGGTTTTGAAGAGTGGGAATGCCGTGAAATACTGTTGCTATCTGTCTATAGAGCTAGTCCTGATAAAATTTTGGGAATGGAAGTGATGACCTCCTAGGTCCCTTTCTGTCTCAAGTTCTGTGTTTCTAGCAGGTGACACAATCTAGCCAGCCTGTGTTGTTGGCCAGCCTACACCCAGGGGACAGTTACAAGCCTGGGGTGTCCTGGCTCCAGGAAAAAGGTCATTATCCACTTCGGAAGGCATGACGTTGTTCTACAGCCCACGTCAGGCTGCAGCTTTTGCTTTGGTGTTGGTGCCATATCTGAAATCTTCAAGTACTACAAGGCAGTCTTTCAAAGTCACAGGACAGGATTTGAAGCATGACTGGAGAGAAAAACATTTTAAAGCCGTCCTCCATCACAATGTAAGAAAAATAAATCATTGACCATTCTTTGAAAAAACAATAATCTTCTTTTTTTCATATTGTGGTACTTCCAGTAGAACACAAAACACTGTTTCTTTTACAATAGGACCACGAAAGCTGAAATGCTGCATCAGCTTCACAGCATTGAAGAAAAAAAGAAGAAATTTTTAAAAATGTGAATTGTAAGCTGCCTGTACCTTAGAAAGAGCAGCTCATTGCATTCAGAGCAGTGGCTCCACTTGCATCTCTCCGCTATTGCAGAAGGTTCAGGAGCAGCAACTTAGAAGGAGCACTTAGCAATCTCATGTTTTGTCTTCTCCACCCACCCTGGCCTTGCAAGTGCAGAATGTGTGGTGCAATACAGCTGCTTCTGCAGCAGCATCCACCTCCACAAGCACCTGGCATGATGTCTTGCCAGTGCAGTTTATATTTGTCCACTTTATCCAATGCTCACAATGCTTTATCCTATGCTCACAATACCTTCAGAAGGAAAAAAGCCTGGTGTGAAGGCCTTCTACTAACTGCAGCTCAGATAATAGTTTGGAAAAGGACAACAGTATGCCTGTGTTCATGGATCCAGGGCAGATGCAGACAGTAACCTATCAGCAGATCTGACAGGTAAAAGGTAAGGGTCAAAAGAGCTTAATGGATACATCTTAGTGGCACTTTGTCATGACATTTACACACATTTATTTTCTTCTTACAGCAGAGGATCTGGCCTTTTTAAAGGTTGCATTTAGGGCATGACATTCTCATATTGAGTTGTATTCAGCCTTACGTGACAAGCCACACTCTCCATAAAAACACAGAGGCAAAACAAACACTCCCGTTAGCTATAAACAAATAAATACATCAAGAAACCCCACTGCCAAATCATTAGGAAAGCTTCCTGAGGAGCTGGCCGCGACCACTCTTCCCTTTTACCTGGCCACACCGAAGCACCCCGATCCGCTGGAAGCCACTCCAGTCTCTTCCTGAGCAAGCTTTGGCAGGCTGTGCCTGCAAACCACTGTCCCCACACCCTCCCCTCCCAGCTCACCACCTCCACGCACTGCTCTGATGCTGCTGCGGGCTCTCCTGGCACCGCTTACCTCTCACACCCCGCACCGAACGTCACAGCCTGGGCAGGGGGGAGAGGGCAGGGCAATGCATCCCCCCGTGGCACCCCCGGATCGTGCTGGGACGCGAGCAGCGGCTGGCTTTCCCGACGTGACACGAGGCTGGGAAGGGCAGCGCTCTCCCTTTTTCATTAGGCGTATTTATAAACACGCGGTACACAAGCATTTTTCCTTTCTTCGCAGTGACGGGTGATTATATGTCTATGAAATGTTTTCATTTATTTGGCGCCAGGGTAATCAAAATCAGTCGAAACCGTGGCAGCGGAGGGAAGGAAAACAAGTAGGCGTGGGACTGACTGTGCCTCTCGCTCCCTGGGCCGTCCAAGGGTAGTAGCTGGCAGAAGCGCACCCCTCGCAGATGAACGTCTTATTCAGCTGGTAATTGTTCCCAGTCGTGCTCATGGCCTCTGTCCATTAAGGATGTAGCCCTGCATAACTTTGAAAGCAACTGGCTCCGCGCTGGAAGCGCTGTGGGAGCGTCTGAGCCAGCATGTGCGTGACTCTGCTGAGGCAGAAAAGAGCTGGTCCCAGAAAACCTTTGTGAATGAAATTTTCATGCTTTCATGTCTGCCCCAGTGCAGATTCTGGGTCAGTCCCTGTGATCTCAAACATCCGGTTTGAACGGGTGTTTTCCACTACATAGATGCAAAAATATTTCCATTATAAGCCTTTAATAGCTCTGCATAGACAAGCAAAGGGGATGAGTAGGAGAAGGGAGTTTAGGAGGCTGTGTTAAAGATGCTGATAAAACAAAACAAAACAAAACAAAAAAAAACAGAAACAGAAAACAAACAAACAAACAAAAAAAAACTACTAAATTTCTGTCAGTTAAAGAAAAAAGACAAAAACACACAACAACAACAAAAAACAACCAACATTGTCTGTTCATCTTCTTAAAGCCAGATGGCAAAGATTTCAGCAGTGATGTTTCTGTTTGCATCTCTCCCCTCCTCCTTCCCCCACCTTCCCAGCCAGCCGTCCCTCTGTGTCCAGCACACGGCAGCAGCGGTGGCACGTGCTGCTGCCTCCCCAGGAGCTTCCTGGGGCATCCCCACTTCCTCCAGGAGAAGCTGCCTTCCATGTACTCCCCCTCTGGCATCACGCATGGATGATGGAGCTGGTTGCTGGCCACATTTGCCTGTACCCCATGGTCTCCATGGAAGAGGCTGTGCTGGGTGGAGCAGCCCGGCAGTGGCCAGGCACAGTGGCTGGTTGTAAGGCAATGATGGGTGAAGGGGGCTGCAGCTGCAGCATAGAATGGGCAGTTTGCTTCCACTGAAATGTGTCTGGTCAAAAGTGAAATCTAGACAGTGGCTTCACACACAGCATCATGATTACTTGAACCACATGGGATAAGTGCAGAAGAGCTGGGAATTCGTCGTTCTCCTACATTCTAATGAAAACAAAACAAAGCCAACAATTCAACCACTGGGGTCAGAAAGGTTTGAGGAAAATACCTATTCTCCCACTCAGCTTTTCTTTACAAGGCCCTGGGAAGCAGTTTAAAAAGACCCTCAACTTCCCCCTCAAAATGGTAATTCCTCTTCCTTTTCTCATTAACGTATATGTATATATATTTATCTCTGTATATACACACGCACGCAACCAAACCCCAAATCCGCCTGAACTGCATCTTTTTTTTTGCCAAGCACACACCTCACTCTGCATTAACAGAAATCATTGAGCGTTTCTGCCTTTCTTTATTAATAGCACAAAACCACATCCCTGAAAAGCAGCAAGAGCTCAGTGTTCACAGCCAGTGCTGTATGTTTAAAAGAGCAAGGGGAAAAAGAAAAGGGGAGGGGAGGGGGACTTTTGAAACCCATTGTCCTCTCACTTTGGGAGAATTCAGTGAATTATCTCATTTTTCTGGGTAAAATGTGCTTCCTCAGAACACATTGTGTGTCATCTCGGAGGCCACTGCTGCTTTAGACTGATGATGTGGATGCTGCTGCTGAGGGAAACTTGGGAGAACAGCTGGCAAGCATACTGCTCCTGTACTGGCCAATGTAAAGGATGGCTAGATAATATAGGATAATTTATATGGAGGGACTTTTTCAGCACCTGATATTATTGGCTGGTGGGACGGATGACCGTTTGCAGAGAATTGACTACACTTCCTCTGCAAGGATATATTAACCAGCATGTGCACTCCAGAGGCTCCAGCCCCATACGATCTTCCCTCTGATAGAGAGTCTCTCGACAGATGAGCCAGAGCACTGGCTTCTGGGGACTCCAGCCTTGTACTCACAGCTTTCAAAACCCTTCAGGGTGACAAAGCTGTAGGAGCAGGGCACCCCAGCAGTAACCCTACTCACTGCACTTTTCAGGCCACGAGGTTGAGCCATTTACAGATCTCTGCACAAATGCAAAGAAAATGATTGTTACCCATCTGGTGATCTGCAAGTCATCTATCTATCTGTCTGCATAACAGTAACTGGTTAACTAAGGGTGAAAGAAGCTTCAGGTTGTCTATTGCACAGCCAAACGTAGTGCCTGCATGGTCCACACAGTTCGAAATGTGAATGAGACTTTGTGTGTGTGTCTGAGAGAGAAAGAGCATGGGTGGGAAGCCCGGCAGGCTCCTAAATCTGTCAGAATGCAGTGTGATCATGTCAGCACATTTAACAGACCACTTGACAGTGGACTGCCAAGTTTGTTCGTATGTTTACAGATATATATTCAACTTATTTACATTCCTCCAAATCCCATCTCTGACTAAATATAGATGGAATAAAAAAAAAAAAAAAAAAGAGACCGCAACAGTAAAAATTAACACACGGGAAAGAGAGTCTGGTATCCAAAGCAGTAGGATTTCAGCCGTCACCAGTACACGTCAAAGCACAGAAACATCTGTTTCATTACCCTGCATTGGAGCTGGAGCAATTACTTGAGAGAAGTCCCATCGCATGGCTAAGGACAGAGTCCAGCTCTCCCACCGGCTGTGCCAAAGCCCTCTCTACTGCCCCGACAGTCGCCCAGGTTTTCTTCTCTGCCAGGAGCTGGAGACCTACTGAGGTAAGCAGCATTTGTTCTTAAGTGCTCAGGGAAGAGGAAGCTGACAATAGCCTGCACAACTTTGCTGCAGAGTTCAAAAAGAGTTGAGGACTAGGCTGCAGGCAGAAGGCACACCGCAGACATTGCGTGCAACTGTTTTTGAGTATCACTGAAAAGTTGCACTCTTTATCTGCTTTTTGCTCTCTTCTGGGTCATCCCCTGCAGCCCTCAATGAACTTTGGGGCAGACCCAAAAGGATGCCTATACAGAAGACAGTGGCTAAAATATTGGGGCTGATGTCTCACCAGCATTTTCTACCAGATCAACAGAAAAGAGCAATTGCTGTGCTGATATGAAAGGCTTTTAACTTCTCTGCCTTGTTCCTCTGTAACTTAGATAAGGATAGCAAAATAGTTCTGCCTTTACAGGAAACCTGTTTTTATTCACCTGGAAAGTGCTACAGGTGTCAAGTATTACCTGTAAAGCAATTAATTTTAAATAGTATATATGTAATGTTTACAGCAGAGGAAAATACTGTGGGTGCAGACTGACCTATGGATATGGTCATAAGGAGATGCATTGGTATGTTTCCTCTACGCTGCATGAGAGATGTGTAAAATCTGGTTAAAAATACAAAGATTATCCTTGATATTTTTAAGCACTGAATTAAAACCCATATTTATAGGCATCTAATTGAAGCTGCACTGTCAATATTATCCCATTGGCATCATGGACATGGATTGCTTCTTCAAAGGCAGCCTACCTCTTCCTCACCCTACCTCTCACATGGGGGTACGTGGGTACCTGTTGGAGATGCAGGAGCATCTCCTGTTGGAACATCTGGAAGGCTTCAACATTTACAGTTAGTTCTGTGGGCATCCGAAGACAAATAGGTTCGAAGCTGATGGTGTGTGTATATTTCTGCAGGAATGCCAATGGGGCCAGTTTAACTTTCAGGAAACTGAAGTGGGATAAGGATCAAATCTGGGTCAGAACCTTAAACTGCTCTACCTTATCTACCTGCTCAGTTACTTAATGTTATTTGGATATGGCTATTTTGACTAAAATGTTTCTTATGGTGGCTTTTGGGAAGAAAGTGTGGCCAGCAGGAGCACCTCCAGCAGTCTGCCTGCTCTCAGTGCGCTGAAAGCATGGTGTCCAAGGGCAGCAGCACACAGCACACAGCAATCTCAGCATCTAATGTCTGCATTGGACTTGGAGTGTTTTACGAATTGATTTACTAAGCCTCTCCGCATCACTGTGAGATACGTAAAAGTTATCCCACCAAGAGAAAAGGAAGTGATTTGCTAAAGGCCAGAGGGAAGCTCATGTTTGAACTCTTTAAGCAATTACTGGAATGAAAGCAGCCTCCCAAGTGCCAAGATTTTCTTTTAGATGCCTGGAGCTCCTGGGAAACCATGCACTTCTCTCATAATGAAACTTTACAAAAGCTGTCACCAGTGTGGAGAAGTCATTACTGAAATGGTGTTAAAGACAAATTTTTGTAAACAGCTTTTGTTTTGCTTTTATTCTAAGACAGCCATCATGTTACATTTGAACTGCAGGCAGGAAATACTATTTCTGTATACCACTCCTGCTTGCCTACAACTAAAAACTACAAAGACTCTCTCCTTACACTTCTGTAACCTAGAAAAGCCCTAGCTGAATCACCAGTGCAGCCTGATGAGTTATTTTTGCAGAGATGTTGGCATTTCAACACAGGGGCAGAGGACAAACCAGTGAGCAGCGTGTCTTTGTGACTAAACATACACAAGCATACCTGGTTGGTTATTTTATTTTGTACTGACAAAGCAGTGAAAAGCAAAAAGGCTTTAGACTTCTGGACAGAATCAATTAAAAGGAGTGCATTATTTGACTAGTGCACGTGTCTTTCCCACTTGATTAATGATCTACCCAACTTGCCCTGAGCTACCTCTTCCCCTCTCAGTGGTGGAGGCAAGGGCCACTGCTGCATGTCCCGTAGAGCTAACTCAGGAGCTGTGCACCAAGTTGGACACCCATAGCAAGTGTTTGGCTGCTGTAGCCCTAGGGCTAGTTTGTTTTTTTATGACTGTGACTTTTGTTATTACTTGCCAGACTCTTCCAGAGATTGTCTCAGTCATTCCAGTGCTCTCAGCCCAGGTCTTTCTCTTTGAGCCTCTGGTTGGCCTTAAAAGTCTGAGTAGTGTAAGCAGAAGCAGCAGGGCTTTTAAAAGTAATGTACTTCTGCTGAGTTTTGTAAAGGAGGAAGGTGTGGAAGAGAGGAGGGAAAGGGGCCAAGTTGAGGAAATCCTGTCACAGATCCCTTGGAGCTGTCACACATTTTAGGGACAGGAGCCTCCGAGGGTGAAGGATGTACCCATGCTCCTGTAAAGGTCACCTGTCCAGCTAACCCACCATTTGGAGCTGATGCTTGTTCCTGCTTTACAACAGAGCCACATCTAAGGTGGGCAGGTGCAGACCCAGGCCTTCAGCCTTGGTCTGAAGAAAATACTTTCTTGACCCCAGCAAAACAAAGTCCTTCCATTAAGCCTAGCTGTCTGCTTTCTTTCTATTAATGACTTTAAAATAAATTATTCTGTAACTTTTTATTATGGTTTTGCATTCTGCAAAAGGCATATTTCCTCTAGCTGTCATGTCTAGTTTCCTATCATTTCTCCAGTACAGCTCCCAGATCATGCCCAACTCCCCATCTTCCCCTGCTCCCCCATCACCAGCTTTTCACTATATGTCCCCTAATGGTCCTCACCTTCACAACACTTCTCTCCTGTCCCCAGACTCACTGTCCTTAGCTGCTGCTGGTCCCAGGGCTACAGTGCCCTCAGCTCCCTCCCATGCTCTGCATTTCTCCTTTCATGTCTCCTGCTGGGGGCTGAACAAAGGGCAGCCTGTAGCTGTGTCTGCACTGGAGCCTCTGGCTCTTAGGCTCCCCAGGTAGGCATGCTCCTGACCCTCCTAAGGCTGAGATCTACCTGCCCGTCCTATTTTACTGTTTTGCAGCAAAATATGGCCCAGTCAAGAACAGTGAAACTAATTTGCTTAAATATGGGCACAGCATGTTCTTGGGGTGCTCCAGCATATGTCTGGTGTCCAGCCACTTCTCCGGAGAAACCCCCATGGGTTCTGCAGTATCAATGACAACAGCACCAAGGCCCAAGGTTCATTGTGCTCTCTTGTCCCCTGGTCACCAGAGTAGAGCAGGACACCCTCTACCAGTCTCTGAGACTGTAATTCATTGTGCCCTTCTCCAGAACTGGGGAGATCTCTTCTTGCAGTGTAAGAGACAAAGATAACTAGCACCAAGTTGCCATCATTACCATTTATTTGGTGCCATATTTTTGCATTCAGTATCATCCTGTTGGAAAACAGTGTACGCCCTTTATTTTGTTGACCCTCTTCTCTTAGATTCCTTTCCTACCTTTGTGGGTCTCCTGTTTCCTTTTCTTTGCATTTATCTTTTTTTCTTTCTTTCTTTTTTTTCTTTTTCTTTCTCTCTTCTTTCTTTCTTTCTTTCTTTCTTTCTTTCTTTCTTTCTTTCTTTCTTAACTCCCACCCTGTCTGGGCCAAACTTCTGTGGTGGCCCATATGCTGGGATGAAGACCTGCGAGTTAGTCTGTGTGGTCCTCTCAAGTACCTCGGCTTCAGTGAACACTGTAGAGAGATTACAGGAAGGGCAATGTTATCCTTTCCTGAGGCTTTGGTTCACGTTATCCACGAGCTCCAGACAACCTCATTATACTGCACTTTGCCTTTGAAAGGTCTGTTCTGCAACCAGAAAGCTATTTACATAAAAAAAAAAAAAAAAAAAAAGAGAGAGAGAGAGAGAGAGAGAAAGGTTATCGTATACAAAGGGCAACTGTATCGCTTATACACCAACACAATGAGTGTGCTAGATAGGGGCCAGAAACCACGTATCTGAAATCTCTGCAGCAGAGGAGTATTCCCTCCTGTGTGCCTGCTCCAGGAGTGAACTCTTGCCTGTGGAATTTGCTTCCTCTAAGAGTTCACCAGAGCTAGCCTTTGGGGGTCTGGAGGGCGCCGTGGCAAGGAGGCTTGCCTCGGCGAGCCCCCAGGCTCTGCTTAGTGCATTGTTATGGGGAGACATACAAAATCAAGAAAAGATTGTCGGGCCAAAGTGGAAGTGGCTGGGTGTTATTCAGTTGAATTGCCAGTATGTATTTTTAAATACGGAGAAGTGCCAGAAACAGTCTGTCCTGTGCACCCTAAAGGTGCATAAATATATCTATGGGTGTATAAATATACATGAATATACATATATCCTCTTCTGCTGCCTGCCCATCTCCTCCAAAATTGACTTTGAGTGCATCAGAAGCAGAAATCAGTTTCATCTTGTGCTGGTTGATCCACATTAATGATACATATCTCTAAGAAACATCAGATCTTTCATACAGAGAAGTCTGCTATGTCCTCTGAGTCACCTCTTGGTTCTCAGCACCAGTTTTGTGCCTTGTGGTCTGATGTTTTTTTCTTTTCAAATGCCTTGGCATTCTTCAGTCTGCACCCCTCACTTCCATTCCCTCTGAGTTCCTGGCCTGGCAGCATGTTTCCTCTGTCTGAGAAATCTCCCTGGCTATTGCCTGGGCTATATCCCTTATTTTGCATTGCTAGAATCCTACTTATGGTTGGCTG